CGCAGGTATGGCATAAGCTGAGGTGTTTGGAGCACAACAGCTGCTGTCCAGGCTTCACTGGCCATCCATTGTAGGCCAGTTACATTTTGCCTCACTACCTGTGAATTAGATTACACCATATTCTATGAAAAGATATTGTAACTATAACTTGATTAGTGACATTATCATGCTATTTAAGCTATTATTCGCCTTTAAATGAATTCTGAATGTACAGTTTTCTGTAATCATTCAAATAATGATGTAATAAATGTTTTACACAATACAATGATGCAGACCTTTGCAATTAATAATAATTGGATTGTTTTAAAGCCAAACCTCTTCCATAAGGTTTATCATGCGACTGTAATGTTCAAAGACAATAACAACTCGAGCTGTGGATTTTTTCATCACATCAACAATCCTCCTGAGTTCTTCTGTGTCTTTGTCCCAGGGCAAAACCTCAGTGTAGGCCAGGCAACTTTCACTTAACAGACTCAGCTCAGATTGAAATGATCTTGCTGCGTGAAGTCCATAATCATCGTCACTGACAAGCAGACCAACCCAAGTCCAACTGAAATGCTTCAGAATCTGAATCATAGCACGTACCTAAGTGTAAGTGCATAGACAAGAACAATTTTCCACATGATTATTACACCTTTATGGTGGCAAATTAGCTTTGTTCATAACAAAGTAAAACTGGAACTGGAAAAACATTTTAGTATCATTGTATGCATATTGTTGCAAAGTAGGCAATTTCTTTAACCAAAACATCTTTGTCGACAACAAAAACAATTGTTGACAGATTTTCACCTGGAAAGCATCACTTGGGATCGTCCTAAAGAATGATGGGTATTTTTGATGGTTACTCAGGCAGGAACATGTGGCAAAATAACTCACCTGAAAGATACAGACTACAGATTGCACCGATATTGATGTAGAGATGTCTTAACTTTGTCATGTTACTTCAAGTGTCTTTAAATTTGCAATTAAATTAAAATAATCCAAGAAAACTATTACATGGTTGAGCAGAAAACTTACCATAGGTACTCTGTACAAACCTAAGACGTTGGAAATGGCAATAGAATTTGTAGAAGATGAATCACCCACAATCCCTATGACAGGAGGATTTCCAACACATGTACTATTTAATATAATTTTCTCTTCTTGACCACTGGCCATTGACAATGCTGCACGAAATCCAATTCCAAGCTCAAGGCAGTCATCATACAGAGTGTACCCCAGAGTCACATTAGGTAGCAGGTTTGAGTTTCTATTGATCTCATCAATAGCAAAGGCCATGGTTTGTGCGAGCTTAAATCCTAGGGCATAAACACTAAGACAAGAAAAATTTAACTGAAAAATATATTTTCATCAAGATACTTTACTGCAACATGTGGCAAAATTACTTATTATTAAAAAACATTATAAAACAATTAAGGAAACTGAATAACAACGATAAACAAGATATTTTCATGACAAATAATATTGATGCACCAAGATACATGCATTTATCCTGAATGATAATAAATCAGAAAGTACAGTTACTACTATTACAATCTCATATTTCCTTTGCACTAATTTCCATTTCCCTTTCCCCCCCCAGCCTTACTTACCCATTGCAAGTAGGTTGTTGTGGTTTTGAAGTAAAAGACTGAATAGCAACACTTGAAAAGAAGTGGATTTGAAACAGTCC